TTAAATTAATAGAATGAAGGGGAAAATCACTTGATTATCTCAATAATGCCAAAGAAACCCCAAAACATTTGACAAAATTCAACATCCATTCATGATAAAAACTCTTAAGAAATTAGGTATGGAAGGAATGTACTTTAATATAATAAAGGTTATACAGGACAAACACAGCTAACCTTATACTCAGTGGTGAAAGGTTAAAAACTTTTTTTAAAGATAAAAAACACGACAAATGTGCTCACCCTCATTAACCCTAGTTAGCATAGTACTGGAAGTCCTAGCCAAAGCAGTCAAGCAAGAAAGAAGAATAAAATACAGTGGAATTAAAAAAGAAGTAAAATTGTTTCTATTTGCAGATATAGAACATTTCTAAAAGCTCCACCAAAAAACCTGTTAGATATAATCAATGCATTCAGTAAATGTCCAATATACAAAATTAACATGCAAAAATCAGTAGTGTTTCTGTACACTAACAAGTATCTGAAAAAGAAATAAATAAAACAACCCCACTAACAATAGCATAGAAGTTAATAAAATACTTAGAAATAAATTTAACCAAGTAGGTTAAGATATCTACATAGAAAACTATAAGAAATTGATAAAGAATCAAAGAAAATACAAATAAATAGAAATATATTCTGTGCTAATGGATTAGAAAAATTAATATTATTAAAACATGACTACTACCCAAAGCCACCTATGGATTCAGTGCAATCCCTATCAACATTTCAATGGCAGTTTTCACAGAAATAGAACAAAAAATTCTAAAATTTATATGGAACAACAAAAGACTTTGAATAAGCGAATCAATTCTGAGATAGAAGAACAAAGTGGGAGGCCTCACAATGCCTGTTTTCAAGTTGTATGACAAAGCCATACTAATCAAAACAGTATGGCACTGGCAGAAAACGGACATGTGGACCAACAGAGTGGAATTGAGAGCCCAGAGATAAACTCTGCATATATGAATAATTAATATTTGACAAAGGAACCAAGCATACTCAATAGAGAAAAGACAGTCTTTAAATAAATGGTGCCGGGAAAATTGGATATTCACATGTAAAAGAATGAAACCAGACACCTTCTTATACCACTCAAAAATTAACTTGAAATAGATTAAAGACTTAAATGTAAAACTGGAAACCATAAGACTCCTAGAAAAAAACAGAAAACAAGCTCCTTGATGTGGGTCTTGGCAATGAATTCTTTAATATGAGACATAAAGTACAAGCAACAAAACAAAACTCAATTACTAGAACTACATCAAACTAAAAAGCTTCTGCACAGTAAAAGAAATGATTAACACAATTTAAGGACAACCTTTGGAATGGAAAAAAATAATTGGAAACCATATGATAGAGTTAATATCTACATTATGTAAAATACTCATACAAGTCAATAGGGGAGAAAGAAGTAATTCAATTAAAAAATGGGCAAAGGACGTGAGTAGACCTTTTTTTCAAAGTAGATGTATGGTAGCCTTACAGGACAAAAGCTGCTCCACATCACTAGTCGTTGGGGAAATGTTAATCAAAACCACACTGGAATATCACCTTGTACCTGTTAGAATGGCTGTCATCAAAAAGACTAGGGATGACCAGTGCTCGTGAGGTTGTGGACAACAGAAAAACTTTGTGCACTCTTGGTGGGAATGTAAATTGGTACAGACACTATGGAAAGCAGTTTGGAGATTCTCAAAAACTTAAAAATAGAGCTACTATATGATCTATCAATTTCACTTGTAGGAATATATAGGAAAACTAAAACATTATATTGAAGAGATATCTGCGATTCCATCTTCACAGCTGCATTATTAACATTAGTCAAGATATGGAAACAACCTAAGTATCCATCATCAGATGGATAAAGAAAATGCGATTTATATTTTACCATATGCACTGTATGTCAATTATATATCAATAAAACTTGGGGAGAGGGAATCTACAAAAGCTCTAATTGTTAAAAGCAGGAACTAAAGGGGTTCCTTTCATTACATGTTTTGATATTTATGTGCTTTCTTTTCACATTTCTATTGCTACTTCTCGACAACCTAGTGGACCTTATCTTCTTTTTACATCTGAGAATACTGAGAAATGAAGACATTATGTGAGTTTCCCAACTTCCTGTCAGATTGTCTGGTCTCTAGAGAACAGGAAACTAGTATGGCAGTATTTTCATCTTGAGACTCTTTCAAATACTAAGCTATTTTTAAAAAGAATGGCAGTATTTTATGTGTGAGCATGTGCACATGTGTGTTGGAGTATGTACATATAGGCACATGTCTGTATGATTTTGTGCATATACAACGTAACTCCCTGATTTGGTTAAGGATTTTTTGTTGGCTCCCTAACAGCATAAAGTTCCTGTCAGGCATTAGTGCATTTGATCGCCTGGCTGTTTACTTTGAGATTTTGCTTGGGTCTCTTTACACATTAATGTGTATGCAGATAGTATGGGACAACCATTCCATGCTGGATGCTGCCCCTGAGAAAGGCCATAAGATTACAGTCTTGAAACTTAAATGAGCAGAATCCAAGTTGGTAACAGTTTGCATATCTTTATGATCTCTCTCTGAAGTGGGTCTTTTTCTTGTGTTGTTTTTCGTTTACTTGAGAGCTTAAGAACTAATGTACATAAGCAGTTAAAATTGTTACTTTAATCTTTCATGCCTTATTTCTTTCTCATCCTTCTCAAGTGTTGTTTTCTGTAAAAACTGGTCTGAAATGAAGGTTGGGCAAAACAAATTATTGAATGTTACAATGTTCTGAAAATGTCTTTGCTAGTCTAGAGTAAATAAAAGGTGATTCCCATTACAGAAATACACTTTTCTTATTTTGCAATAGATGAATTGAAATATATTAGCTAATTTATTCCTTGAGTAATTTGAAAATTCTATTCTTGTAATACATGATATGAAATGTCTTAAGGAATTGAACAAAGTTTCAATTTCGATGAGTAAATTTTTTAAGGAAAACATGAACACACGTTAGTTTTCTGCCATCCCTTACAGAATTCCTGTCTCTTTCTAGATGTTGAAAAAACAAACAAAAAACGTAGCTTATTCCTTTGGAGCATTTAACAATGCTTTGAAGTTGTATTTTCTTTTTAAGTAATAATGACTTAGTAAGATTTCTAACATAGAATTCTTTCAAAACTTTCAAAACTTTCAAAACTTCAGGTCTTATTTTCTACCCTTCTTCTAATTCTCCCTTAAATTATTTCCCTGAAGTGTTTGTTTGACTTTTACAGATTGTCTTTAGCCCTGACTGGTGGGGCTCAGTTGGTTGGGCATCATCCCACAAAGCAAATGGTTGCCAATTTGATTCCTGGTCAGAGCACATGCCTGGGTTGAGGGTTTGGTCCCCCAGACTGAGTGCATAGGAGGGCCACTGATCAATGTTTTTCTCTCACATCAGTGTTTCTCTCCCTCTTTTTTTCCTTCCCTTTCCCTCTGTCTTAAAGTAATAAATGAAATCCTTATTCAAAAAGATTGCCTTTAGTTTGAGGATGTACACAATGTCACGACAAGAGAGTTTTCAGGGTTGGTGGAGTCATGCAACTTATTCTTTTAACAGACATGTAGAAGAAGAAATTTTGGTGCACATTTAGTTGTGCACAAAATAAGAGTTTCTGGTATTTCATGTATTCGGTGGATATGATGATCACGCTGGCAATACATAGCAATGGTAGTTCCAGTGGGAGTGACCTTGCATTATAACTGCACTGGCTGCAAAGTCGGTCTGCTGGCCTCAGAGAACCTCACCTGCCCCAGGACCGCAAAGCCCTGAGGCCCAGGGTTTTCATCCGTGTCCCTGTAATTCAATGAAATAAGAAATGCAGGTATGGCCATAAACATCACTTCCATATATATTCATAGAGCTGACTACAGCAAAAAGAGCTGGATTTTATGCAGTTTTTCCTTTCTACCAGAGAGACAAAGAAATTCATTTTGAACAAAGGTAGAAAGCTAATATGTTAGGAGATTGACAGCGACAGCTAATCTGATCTTTTATTTTGTGTTCATATAAATCATGCATTGCTAATAATAGACTCATCATTTCTTGGTGTGACTTTATCCTCTTTGTAATGTTTTCCAGAACATGCTCTTCTTCACTTGATTTCCCAGCGTACTCTTGGTTCAGTGACTTAATCACACAATATTAATGATTAATTTAGTAAGAATTAATGGAAGCAATCTTGATATTTTCTCCTAGTTCCTGAAATAATGCACAAAATTTCTCCTCTTTTTTAAATGCGAGGTGTGGGTGCTGAATTGAACAACTCACTGGATAATATGACATGACAGTTAGTCAATAAGGATTTTTTAAAAGGGTTTAAAAACTAAAGACTTTGTAAAAATAAGGATTTTCTTGACAACATTTTCATTAGATCTAATGTTTTCTTTTTTTCCTGGTAATAGTTGAAATAGTCAGACCAATGCAGAAATATATTCATGTAGATTTGAAGAATTATGGAAGTTCAGACAATCTTCGAGTGCCTATGTAGACCAGAGCAGGCTAACACTGGGCTCTCTATTAGGACTACAAAGTGAGTAAGAAAACTTCACTCCTCTGAAGGAGTTGGGGAGGTGGCAAGATGGAGAGACAGATGTTTGAACAATTAAATTAATAACTAGATATATCAAATTGTATGGGAACACAGAGGAATGAACCATTCATCCAGGTTGGGTAATTGGGAAGGATAAAGAAGAAACACCATTCGGAAAAGCACAGAAGTGTGAATGCTCATGCCAACAGCCTGAAAATGGAGGGCAGTCCAGCGCGCTAGGCAAACCGTGGGAAACAGCAGGAGAGGATGGAGGGCTGTCCCACTGGAACCCTGGATGCCAGGCTGAGAGATTTTTGCTTTACTGGGAAGGATGATACAGAGAGAAGAGTGGTCAAGAGAGACTTTATCACTGACGGTTTCTCTCTTACTGAGTAGGTTAATGAATTGGTTCTGATCAAAATACTGAATTTGGTTTACAAAAATATCTACTTGACATAGTATCTGGCGGGGGAGATACCACAATCACGAAGGTGGATTTCCCAGGTGGAGGCTCACCCATTGCTCCTGGGATGTGCTGACCCCTGTGACTTCCCCAAATGTGGGAAGCTCGACCGCATAATTTGTGGTAGTGGGGGACTTTGTTCACGCTCTCCCCTGAAAAAAATATAAAAAGTCTCCTTGATGTTGAATGTTTATTGGAAAAAGTTTTCCTTAAGCCTTATATTAGACTACATGGTTTTGCACCCCTCCCCCTGACTACCAATCTGCTCTTACTTCCAAGCAGATAATGGTTTATTTAAAGAATACTCTCAGATTTATTTCTCCTGACTGACTAATTTTGTGACATTTGTACACAAAAAGTAAAATAAAATGAAGAAAAAATTTGGGGGCTTCAATAAAATATTTGTTACGCATTAGATTTTGACAGAAAATTGGATATTCAACAAGTATATACAAAATTGATATTTTCATGGAATAAAGTTACTCTTCATCAAGAACTGTTATGCTCTTAAGGCAAATAAACATATGTTCCAAAGCCACAACTTTTAACTAAAGAGAATGTGAGGAATGCTGTTTTTTCCCTGATGACGCTATCGAGAGTTTTAGTTATATCATTAAAAGAAGATTAGCCGTGATTATAAATATCAAAACATTTAGAATGAGATAAATTGGAGTTTCCAAAAAGATATTCAAAGGCTGTTGTGTGCACATGCAGAGCTTTGGAGGCAAATTTACTTAAATACTTACAGTTGGTAAGCAAGCCTAACATGAATATAAGTTTCCATCCTACAAACATCACTGTTTTTGTAAAATTTGGAACAAGATGAAATAAACTTTAAGACTTGGGGATAAATGGTGATGGAAGGACACTTGACTTTGTATAGTGAACACAATGTAATATACAATTAATGTATTCTAGAATTGTGCACTTGAAACCTATATAGTTTTATTAACAAATGTCACCCCAATGCACTCAACAAAAGTTTTAAAAATCTATTTTTTTCTGTGCTAGGGGGAAAAAGACATGAACGTTTTCAACAGAACAGTCGACTCCTCTCTAGCTAAAGAAAAAATCGGGGGGAAAAAAGGTTGGATGTATCAGAACAAAACAAACCGAAGGCCACAAAGGCCTAGGCGTGTGCAGAAGGAAAGTCATCAGCATTCGTTGGCAGCTGTGTGCCGCGTTTGGTGGGTGCAAAGCTCTGGCAGGAATGTGGACTCTGCCGATTGGGCCTGCCTGGTGCACTGAGCACAGACACCCACACGGAGAGGCCAGTGAGATTTATGCTGTCGTGTCAAGAGCCTCACCTCATGGGCCTAACGAGCAAGTGCAAACCTTGCATATATGCAAAAACATTCCCACGCAGAAACTGCTGCCTGCCTACCTGGTGTTTCTCAGTTTGTGTCGTGGGGGTGGAGACCTCCTACACAGAACTCTGCTGTCAACGGACACCGGAGTCATCCTCTCAACAACCATTCGAGTGCTCTCTGTGCTCCAGGTATTGAGGAAGAAGCCAGGAATAGCACACACGAGGCTCCCACTCACCGATACCTTATAAGATAGAGATTGATGAAAAAGTACAGAAAGAAATAAGATAATAGCAGATTATGATCGTTGCTCTGAAGAAAATCAATGAGATGATGCCTAAGAGAGTAATTGGGGCAAAGGCCTACTTTAGAGAAAGTAAGAAAAAGGGCCCATAAAAAGTGACAGTTGAGTCAACGACTTAAAAATGAATGGAACTGGGGAAAAAATTCAAAGGAAAGGCAAAGCCCCCCGAAGGGGGAGGGGCCTTTCACTTTTTCCAACAGATATTATTGCACGTTTCTTTTTTAATTTTTTAAAATTTTTTATTAATTATGCTGTTACAGTTGTTCTATTCCCCCTTTTATTCCCCTCCACCCTACCCCCCATCCCCACCATTACCCGCCCTTTAGTTTATGACCATGTGTTTCAAGTCCTTTAGATTCTATCTTTCCCATGCTATTCTTGCCCCCCTTCTATTTTCTATCTACTGTCTATGCTACTTATTTTCTGTACCTTCTCCCCTCTTCTCCTCCTCCCACTCCCCTGTTGCTAACCCTCCTTGAGATCTTCATTTCTATGTTTCCACTCCTGATCTAGCTGTCCTTTTAGTTTGCTTTCGTTTTAGGTGTGGTTGTTAATAACTGTGAGTTTGTTGTCCTTTCACTGTTCATGTTTCTTTAACTTCTTTTTCTTAGATAAGTCCCTTTAACATTTCATATAATAGGGGCTTGGTGATGATGAACTCCTTGAATTTAATCTTATCTGAGAAGCACCTTATCTGTCCTTCCATTCTAAATGAAAGTTTTGCTGGATAGAGCAATCTTGGTTGTAGATCTTTGGATTTCATGACTTGGAATACCTCTTTCCAGCCCCTTCTTGCCTGGAAGGTCTCTTTTGAGAAATCCGCTGACAGTCTGATGGGGACTCCTTTGTAGGTGACTGTCCCCTTAGCTCTTGCTGCTTCTAGGATTCTCTCCTTCATTTTAATCTTGGCTAATGTAATGATGATGTGCCTTATTGCACGTTTCTTAAACACTGAGCCCAGTGTTAAATTTAAAAGGTCGTATATTTGATGTAACAAGGCATTTTGGAGAAGGAGGGGAGAAGAGGCATGTAAATGCTATTACTTATATTGCAGGTAAACAATTGCTGAATTAAAGGGTAGCATTTAGATTGAGGGATTTGGGAAAATAGTAAATTTTATTTGGGTTGAGGGGAGATGGGAGAGAGAGAAAAGAAAGGCAGCTCTCCAGGAAGGAGTTAACAATAGCGGTGCGCTACCCATTGATGCTGTTGGAACCAGCCAGCAAGTGGTCAAGTTATATGATTGTCTTCTGTAACTTCATTAGGAACGTGAAGATGCCACATAATGACCCGTTGTACATTCAAATTATCCAAGGTGTTCTTGACAACAAGTACTAGTTAGAGCGTGCCCTGGATTCACTGTTTCTGGGAGACTTGCTCAGCTACATCTTGGTAGAATTTCTAGGCCATGAAAACCTAAGTGAAATGACAGTGAGACTTAATAGCTTTTGTTCAGTAATTTCCATGGGAAATAGCTGATCCACTGAGAACCCTTTATCTTGGCCATGTTCTGGGATGGCACTGAGGTCACATTTATTTCAGCTTAGCTTCTGTAGCCCCCATGTCATTGGAGACAGCTTGACCTTTGAGAATCAGATGAAATTGGTCCGAACTCTATCCCAGTGGTGGTGGAAGACTAAGAGAGTGAGCCTCCCATGAGGGGGGGGGGTCACATTTTCCTGATCTTTTTTTTTTTTTTGTCTCAACAACTCTGATTTTGCTGGAGAAATTCAGGAAATGGCTCATTTAGTCATTTCAAAAAGAATTCTGATCTTTTTACTCATTTGCTTGTTCCCAACAAGGAACATTGGGCACACAGGCATTTGTGAGAGTCGCTGACTTTATTGAAGACTTGGGCAATAGAAAAGGAGTTTGCACTTCAGCTTTACACTTGACAGTTTGACTATTTGCCTTTCTGTTTCTATGGGGTCCATTAGGCATGTCCATGAACTCATATCTTAAGCTTCTGCCCTATTTATTGTCTCTCTCTTCTTCCCTTTTTGTTTCTCCCACTAACTCCAACAAAACGCTGCAAAAATGCTCGCCAATGTTTACCCCTTCAGTCAAGGCTTGGCACTCCCAGAATGGGTGGCTGTTGGGCCGGTGTGACTCAAAGACTTGCTTGCTCTGGTGTATTTCCACCACTGGTCAGACAACAATGTCTGCAGTCCTGTCTGTCACAGCCAGACTTTTGTCTTACTCCTGACCTCCGGAAGGGCCTTGTTAAATCTGAGTCAGCTGCCTGAAAGAAAGAAAACTTATAACTGATTGCCATCCTCATCCGGAGTTACATTATTCTTTTAAAGGGCAAAATAGTTCTCTGGATTGGTTGGAGACTGGGGGACAGGCAAGAGGGAGAGCAGAAAAAGTCACGTGACTGAAGCACAGAAGGCAGCCTGATTTACGGTGGGTCAGTCCTGACGGCTGGGGTGAGAAGGTGGTCCAGTAGAGGAGGACATGGGGCCCATTCAGGCATAGAGTGGAAGGGGGGACCCAAAGGATAAGTTTGTGCAAGAGTGTGGCGCACGCAGCACAGGAGAGAAGTTTAATGGCTTGCCAATGTTGCTTAAGGCTGACTCTTACCTCACACCCCCAGACTGATTCCGTGACCCTGCCTGACATGGGAGGAATTTTGCAGACAGATTTCTCTGTCATCTCAGATAACCCTGTACTGTAGCTACAGGCAAGAATCTGTACTAAATACACAGTTTGCTGCCTTGCTTTTCATTTACTCTTAAGAATTTTTGCAATCAAGATAATCTATAGGATTTTCCCCCTCAAAGAACTCAGTAGATAGCCTTACCTCCTTGTGAATGATTTACTTAAAATTCCCGTATTAGCAGAGGGAGGTTAAGTCATCAATTAGTCTTTTCAAATACAGCAAAAACGTAATAAAAAATTCAAGGGGTCCAAATTGGAGGAATGCAAATTATTTGGTGTTTTGTTTATCTTCAGAACATTTAGCAATTATCTTTCTTTAAACAAAAAAATACCATGAATCATTGAGGTTAAGGTATAATAATTTGTGTATAAATTTCTGATACTGCTTTTAGAATTTTTTAAGTATGGTAATTCTAGCTTGATTTTCCCAGTAAGTTATACAATTTGGAAAAGTTATTACTGATTCTCTTGTAGATTTAAAGACAATCATTTCTAAATTTGAATCTAAAAATTTAAAACATACTGAGGAGTAATAAAACATAATCAAAAGTGCTTTGAATTATTTCCCACTACTCAGACTACTACTTCGACAAGTACTCATAATGATCTACTATTAATATTGTTCTACGTCTTTCTAGTGTTTTTTCCTACTCAGATATAATAGTGTACATATAAATGTATACTCTACCTTACTTAAATATGGTGTATGTGTATATGTTTATACCTCAACTGTTGTGGACCGCTCTGCCTGGTTCTAGGAATTGTAACTCTACCCTCTGTGGCTAAGGATGAAGGAGTGACCTCTGTGGAATGTGAGCCACAGGAGACAAAGCTTGACTGTGGTAGCAAAGGCTGCCTCAGTTTCTTCCCTGCCCCCAAAGCA